GATTCTAGGTCCCGTCCAAATTTAGACTCCAAGCCCCGCTCCTGAGTCCCAGACTCAGTGCGGGGTTAGACCTCCACCATCCCCACCTCCAATCAGTCGGTCCCGAAAGAGCCAGAACCCACGACAAGAGATCAGCAAGCCTTCCCTACGCCCATACACAGGTATGTGTTCAGAATAATAAGTCTGTGACTTGTCTAGAACACAATGCAATGGTCGGTTCTTAACCGACACAGATAGGGAATCAGTGTAACCAAGCTATGCCCCATTGGCCACGGAACACAACCTCTTACACCCACCAATACTCAAACCATATCCCTACCCGGTCTCTATTTTTCTTCCACCATTTTATCATGAGTGATCATAATAATCACCTATTGTGAGTAACGGCAGGTTACTCATGCTACCGAAATCCTAAGCATAGCAGCTACTCGACCTATGCTAGTAGGACTCATAGGCAGGTATATCTTTGCATGTAGTTTCCATAAAATGCCTATAATATAAGTGCGCGCACACACACATATATATATATATCCAGTGATAATTCAAAATAAGTGTTATGCACCAGGACTTGCCTTGGGCAGGAGGGGTGTCAATAAAGTCAGCACTTGATGGCTCCAGGGCTCTCTCCTGTACAAGAATCTCCTTCTCATACTCCTCGATGATCTCCTCGTACTCTAGCTCACCCGTAGCCGTAGGCATAAACAATACCAACTCGTTATCTGCATGCATGAAATAATGATGCAACACTTAGTAATACGGCAACAGCAACTTTTAAAATAAGAATATATCTATCAAGCTACTAAGCTAGCTCTACCGACTAAGATGCTAAGTTACCTATTATTACCACTAAACAGGTATGAAACATTGCATGTATTATCTTATCAACTAAAGACATCCTTATTCTTAATATCAATTAACTATATATATGATTAACAAGGAGTACTAGCTACCCTATTTATCAACCTATTCTAAGGCTACAAAAATTACAGTGAGCACATAATAATCTAATGAACCTACTATAAAAATTTCATGGCTAAAGCTATTACCAATTTGTCACAAAAAATCCTACAAATATTAAGCTAAATAATGTTAAGCTTTCCTAAATGAATTAATGAATCTAACATTATCATAGATAACTGTAAACTAACTACACCAACAGATAGACCACATTTTTGTGAACCTAACAAATTTTGTTTCACTATTTTTAGGCACTTACAGAATTTACTATAATTTTCCAAAGATCAGTTCAAAACTAAATTGGAAAAGCATTTACTAATTCTTTGGAAAAAGAAAAAGTGAATTCCACCCTCGTGGCCCACGAGCGAGCGACACGGCCCACTCCCACTCCCACTCCGCGTGCTCGCACGCGCGACCCACCGGCGTGGCCCACGTGGGACGCAGCCCACCCGCGAGGAACGGCCCGCGACGGGGAGGCCCGCGCGCGGCGGCATCTTTTGTGAAAATGCCCTTAAGCTACCAGTGATTCACCCTGAGGTCCGTGACACTTCCTACAGTATGCGCTTAAGCAAACTAGCCCTCGGAACAATCCATCTTTACCACGGCCAGGTCCTCGGGCCACCTCCGCGCGCACCGACACGGCGGTGATGTCACTGGGCTGCCACACCGGCCATCTAGGCCCCTCCCCGCCCCCTCTAAGGGGCCGATGCTCACCTAGATGCAGAAGCGAAGCGGTGGGCGGTGAAGGGATGAACAGAGATGATGTCAAGAGCTCCCTCCACGGCGACGGACACCCAGCGACGGCGGCGGCCGTGTTCTTGTGAGCCAAGGCACAACCATGGTAAAAGAACCAAAGGATGGGCATCAGCAACTCACCTCAAAGCTACCTGTGGTGGTGACTTGACCGGGGATAGATCGGGTGCTCCGCGACGAACGGTGGTGGCGCGACCGTGTCAGCGGTGCCGGGAAAGCAGTGGCGGTTCAAGTGGGGTGTGCAGGGGGGTGGAGGGGATCAAGGCGAAGATACGGTGCCACGGAATTGGATGGAGGTGGACGGTGCAAGGCTAATTGGGTGGGCGTCGCCATTCGGCCTTAAGGTGGCCGACGGTGGAGAAAACTCCAAATTGGAGCTCGACATCATACGGCTGCGGCAGTGAGCGGACCTGGCACGTAGCTAGGCTCCCTATTGAGCCACCGGCGAGCGCAATTACCCCAGAAGTGACCAGGCGCTGCGGTTTGCTTTGGCGCGGCTCGGTCGGACAGTGTGATGTCATTCAAGGCGGCGGTTGGGGAGCGTGGCATGGCGCTTGCCACTAAATAGAAGAGGACAAAGGCACCACGGGAGATGGCTGCACGCGCAGGCAGAGCAAGGGTGGCAGCGGCAGTGGCACGGTGAGCAGAGGGCGCTGTGCCGCCTCGGCGGGACGCGGACACTAGGCAGAGCAGAGGCACATTGGGGTGCCGTGAGCCTGCACGCGCAGTGCGCCCAACATGACGACGCAGCGCAGAGGGATGTGCGCTTGTTGGCGACGCAGACTACGGCCATGCGATGCCACTGCGCCCGAGCGGAAACGATGACGACGTCTGGTGAAGCAGAGCCGAGCAGCAGAGCGACGCGGGCGGCCCTAGAGACACCAACAGCGGCACCAGCGGCGGCGCGCATCGAGGCAGTGAGATGGGACAGTTGCAAGCTAGGGCTGCCGGCCACAGCTGGCCTGCCGAGCTCGGCTAGAGACGCGCGCGCGCGACTGGCGCGCCGATGATGGCTCGAGAGCGCGGTAGCCATGCCTACACGATGAAACTGGCCGAGGGCATGCCGCGCATGATTTTTAAAGCATCCTAAAAATCTAAATCATTGATCTAATCGCCAAACCACCCTTGCTACACCTAAGAGGGCATATCAGGCTACTAAAACATGCCATAAAACCACACCACTCCTTAATCTAATTTGTCTATAAAAATTACCAAACCTAGCTTTGTCAAGCCATTTTTCAGCCTTAGAAATTCGACTAAGTCTTGATCGAATTCGCGTCAAATTCGATTCCCAATCTATTAGACCAGTTAGCTAGCGAATTCATTATTCGACCGTAGGTATTTCATCGTCATCTACAAAGTTTGTACTTCTAACCTTATTAAAGTTCCGTATATACGTTCTATAGTGTTTTCATTCAACAAAAATTCGCGAACATCCTTACTTGATAATTTCATAAGTCACGAACAACTTTTCGTTGTGCATTTTCGTTGGTCGTTTTAAGCTACGGAAATTGATCTACACACTATATTACATACATCAACACATAAACATGATACACATGCAGTGTTTTAGCAAAAGATTTTCAGTGTAACACCGAGGGTGTTACAGCTATGCTGCACGTTCCAAGGAGAGAACTACGGCAGTTGGTGGCTCAAATCTGGCCAAAAACCAGCAAGCAATAGGGATGGGTCTCCACTCTACTCTTCTGATTCCTTGCTCCATTTCTTTAATCCCTTGCTGTACCTGCTGCTAACACGTGGTCCATTGAGTGTGTTACTAGATCCATATGTAAGTGCAATGATATATGTATAACGATGCTCCTGCCGTCTAGATCTGTGTGCTGCTAGATCCATTTGTGAGTTCGATGATGTATGTAAGACGTGTTGGAATGGTTTCGCTTTTGTGTTGGAAGCTATTGGAATTTCATGGTGTTCAATTTGTTCTGCTCCTGCACTTTTCTTGGCTATACTCTTCCATGGGCTATGGCTGTGTCGTTGAAACAGGGATGGGATCCCCGCGTGATAAATTCCTCGCTCGGGGACGGGGATGGGGCGAACTCAAGCCCCGACGGTGTTAACAAGGATGGGGACGGGGAATTTAAGTCCCCGTGGGGACGGGGACGGGGAGCCATCCCCTGACGGGGAATTCCCCGTTGCCATCTTTACAAGCGACGCGACTCGCGGCGGATGAGGCAGCGAGCGTGGAGGAGCGGGCGGCAGCTGCAGCGGTGGAGCAGAGGCGCCCTGCATGCGTGGAGCGTGAGCGCGAGGCGCGTGAGGCGGAGGTGACGGCGACCGCGGAGGCTGCAGCGGCACGGCGTTGCGCGAGGCCCGCATTGTCGAGGCACGGCGGCTCGTGGCCAACGCTGTGGAGGCCCTGCGCGCGGCAGAGGCCAGCGTCGACTTCGAGTCGGAGTCGGAGGAAGACAACGATAAGGTCGAGCGGCGGCACGCGACGTGAGATGCGCGCGCAGCGCAGGTCGCTCGGGACACAGAGGCAGCGGAGAGGCATCGATGCCTCTTCCCCCGTTCGCCGGAGCGACGCCGCACGCCTCCCCGTCACTAGCGCACGCCTCTCTATCCCTGGAGCGTCACCACGGCCGCCATGGCCAGGGCGGCTCCCCTGTCGTCCAGACAATCTTCAAGGACTCCGACGCTGGCTCGGCGTGGCCGGTCCTCACGAAGACAAACTACGCCGACTGATCCTGATCATGAAGGTCAAGCTGCAGATGCGCCAGATGTGGGACACGGTCAAGTATGGCAACGTCAACCGCCACGAGGACCGATGGGCGATCGAGGCTCTTGTCGCGGCTGTCCCACCAGAGATGGGGCCCATCCTCGCCACCTAGCCCACCGCTAAGGAAGCTTGGGAGGCTATCGCCGCAGCACGCATCGGCAGCGACCGTGCGCGGTGGTCCACCCTTCAAAAGCTTCGACAGGAGTGGGATCGCTTGGCTTTCAAGCCAGGCGAGGACTTCGATGATTTTGCCCTCCGCCTCTCCAGCCTGATGCAGCAGCTGAAGCGGTACGACGACGACGACATCGACGAGGAGAGAGTTGTCGAGAAGCTTCACCGTGTCGTCCCCAAGAAGTACACCAAGGTCTTCCTAGCAGTGGAGACCCTCCTCGACCTCTCCGAGCTCACCATCAAGGAGGTGACGGGCCGCCTCAAGGCCTTTGACGACCGTGAGCAGCCACTTCCCGTCAAGACGGCCACCACGGGCAACAAGCTTCTTCTCACCGAGGAGCACTGGCGCGCTCGCCAGGGTGAGTGGAAGAAGGGGGAGGCTTCAGGTTCCTTGAGCATCCGCACGCGGCGACCACGCAAGAAGGACAAGGCTCCTCGTCCGCGTGGTGGCGCCGGTGGCGACACCAATAGCGAGCGCAAGGCCAACTGCGACGACATCAGCTACAACTATGGCAGGACTGGCCATTGGGCCAAGGACTGCAGGCAGGCGAGGCGTGGGGGCCAGGCCCATGTCGTGCAGGCTCGGGTCGACGACGGTGACCCGGCCCTGTTCCTGATGCACGGGAGTGTCGAGCTACACTCCTCTCCCGTACCGGCCGTCACCGCGCTCCTCCACCTCGACGAGCTGCACGCTCACGCCTTCCTCGGGAAGGGTTCGAGCGATGAGAAGATCAACGAATGGTACCTCGACACCGGCGCCACCCACCACATGACCGGGCGACGCGAGTACTTCTCTGACCTGGACTTCACCGTGCGAGGCTCCGTCAAGTTCGGGGATGCCTCCGCCATGGAGATCGAGGGTGCCGGCTCCGTCATCTTCGTGGCCAAGACTGGCAAGCACCGGATGATCACCGGTGTCTACTATATTCCCGCATTGAGGAACTCGATCATCAGCTTGGAGCAGCTGGATGAGAACGGGTCGTGTGTGGAGATCGAGCACGGGCTGCTGCGCATCTGGGACACTCGTCATCGCCTTCTCGCCTAGGTGAACAGGGAGAGCAACCGCCTCTATGTCCTCCACGCCAAGGTGGGGCAGTCCCTCTGTCTTACAGCTCGACGCGACGACGACGTATGACGATGGCACGAGCGCTTTGGGCACCAAGCCCTGAAGCAGCTCGGGGCTAGTTTCGCACGTCTTCCAAAAACACCCTTTCTCGCAGCACTTACTACAGCTCTGCAGTATGGCATCCTTTTCTTTTGCGCACCTGGTGACGCTGGGATTTCTTCTTCACTGTTGAGGACGCCATACGCACCACGCACGGTTTTTCCAGTTCGCAAAGATCCTGAAAGTCTGAAAAGTCATATCAGAACAGAGTCTCGCAGCAAGGCAGTAGGGCTTGCAGCTTGCTGCATGATCTTCGTTCACAAGCCGCAGCCAATGTAATGAGATTAATGTATGTACATGATTATTGAACAAAACTGCAGACACCACTTTATAGTTTATATTGAATCTCCATGACATAAACAAATCGATCGGTGCATCATGCCCTCAACTATACGTACATACAGCAGCACTGCTTTCACCAGTAACTTAGGCACGCCACATTTACAAAAGCTACTACTACTTGTAACCTTGCTCGACGGGTCTAGCTTCCGTTGACCACTCTGCAGTTCTTCCTGATCTCACCCTGGCTCCCCGTCAGCACCTGGATGTTCCCCATGTTGATCATGGACCTGGAGAAGCTCTTGAAGAACTCCTTCTGGCTGCTGGCGAACCGGCCGACGATCGGCGCCGTGGGCGCGCCGGGCGTCGACAGCAGCTCCTGGTCGGACTGCAGCGTCCCGCGGCGCGCCTCGATGTTGGTGTAGTAGTTGTTGTCGAAAGTGTCCGGCGTGGTCGGGTCGAGGTCGTTGAGCGCCGACGCATTGCCGCCCCTCGGGCACCGCAGGGAGAGGAACGCCCGGTACCCCCTGTCTAGCGTCGGGTCCGGCCGGTTCGTGCCGCTGAAGTTGTACAGCCGCGCCGTCACGAACTGGCACTGCACGCGCCCGAACGTGTGTGCCCCTGCATCCACCGTCGTTGTGACGCCACTAGCATCTCTGTTCGTTCAGGTGCAGAATCACGGAGGCATCGGTTTGCTCCTTACCTGAGAGGGCGACGAGGTCGGTGTTGCCGAGGCCGACGGCGCCGAACTTCTGCTGGAGCGTGGTGAGGTTGTCGAAGGGGCTCGGGAGGTTGTTGGCGGCGGTGATGTTGGCGGTGGTGCCGTCGCGCCGGCCGAGAGGAACGCGCCACCGTGGCCCGCCGGACTGCGTGCATAGTACACGGGACCACACGTCATGTGGCCGTGTTGGATTAAAGCGTGGCACGGAAAGGAAAGTGATTGGTGCCTATGGCCTCGAACGAACGCCCTGCTGATGACGTACAGCCGACGAGATGTGACGTGTGAATATCCACGTCGTACTGTACTAGGGTTATCTGTTTGTGCATGCTTTTAATTTAAAAGACGTGCAATTTTGTCAACTTCTTCTCATAGATCTCTCTAATGGCCATACTAGCTAGTTCAATTATTTTGCACCGACGGTTTCGAGTTATTGCTCCAGGTCTCCATGCAAGGCAAGCAAAGCCTGTACAACGCCAGTCCGACAGTTTGTTTGCTTCTGTGTGTCAAATCTTCTTGAACAATGTCGATCGTTTTGTCAAGATCAACTCATTAACCGGTGATCCCGAGCTTGGTGTGACTATACTCGATTCGGAAAGAATACATTTTAATTAGTGTGTAGTACCGAGTTAAACCATTTTATTAGTGTGACTATACTCGAGCTGCTTAGTGTATCAATATTTGTTCAAACTTGGTCGAAGTCTAGAAAATTGATCAAAGATAGAGGTAGAATTATACTCTCTTGCGGATATGATGGAGGTAGTATACTGGGGACTAACGGTGGATCGATCGGTAGTACATTTGCCGGCTCGAAAAAACTACTCACCAGTTCGACCGAGATCTTGGCCGCGATGGCCAGTATGTCAGCGCAGGAGACGACGCCTGGGCAGGCCTCCTCCAGCGCCGCCTTGACGGCGTCGACCACGGGGTACCCGCGCGCCGAGTTGTTGTTGGGCGTCGCGAACTTCTCCGACACGATGCTCGAGCTGTTGTCCAGCAGGATGGACCCGTCGCAGCCCTGACGAATGAAGAAATAAACACACGCAGGCTCAGGCTCAGAACGTACGTTTACGCCTGCGGAGCACGGGACACGGTTCCGGCTGCTTTCTTACTTGCACGAAGCAGTCGTGGAAGTGGAGGCGGGTGAGGCTGGCGTAGATGCGGACGTCGGCGTCGTGCGCCTTCTTCAGCACCCGCCGCACGACCCTGTGCACGTCGGGGCACGTCTGGTCGTAGTACTCGCTGCACAGCTGCGCCGCGCCGGCCCGGACGCCGAACCCGAGCGCGACGGCGGCGAACATGAGGACAGCGAGCTGAAGACTACGACAAGTCATGCTGCCACGGGGCGCCATTGATCTCTCTCTCTCTCTCTCTCTCTTCTCTCCCAGAGCTAGCTGCTGCGGGCGAGTCTTATAGCCACGGAGTTCACAGGTGGTTGTGCCCATTTGAGCACAGGGAGCGCGCCTTTTCTTGGATCTGAAGGATGGGCAATCATATCATTCGGGTCGACGAGCGTTTCCTGGCAACGTTTCCGTCGCCGCGTCGCTTTCAGTTCAGAGATGGCAACCAGCATGCATGCATGCAGGTGCGCGCAACTGCAATTCTGCTTGTCAGCGTGTGCATGGCTGTTCTAGCTAGTTTTGGTTCGGTGCGGTCTAGCACGAGCAGGAGCAGCTGCCTACCGTGCGGGGTCACAGTCAACGCGAGCTTTAATCCGCAACAGACGTGTTCCAGTACTGTACTGTACGTGGTTGCAGGCTCGCACCAGCTGTGCAGTGTACGTAGCTGAAAGTAGCTGGAGTTGTTCAGATACAAAGGAGGCTCAGGTTATGGATCGGCAGGTAGTCTGGACTCTGGAAGCGCGCAATGATTCCAAGAACGTACGTTAGTTGCTGATTTGAGGATCCGTGCGCACCGCAAGTAAATCGGCTCTCGTGATCTCGTTCCCTTGTTTCCTTTAAATAAAAAATTCCAGCGTCACGTGCTCGTAAAACCACCGAGAGCTCGTTTGTTGCATTCGTATCCACCTCAATCTATGAAAGTTAGTACGGATTCGGGGTGAAAGCAGCCAAAAAATATAACTGAAAAAGACTAACGAAATCACTGCAGGCTGTCGATGTTGCTATACTGTATAGTCTGTCATTATCTAAAAAAATACTGTATAATCTGTATCTGCAAAACCGATTAACTGAAAGCTGCCACTGTGGGATAGGTCTGAATCTCTATTTGCTCGTCTGACCGAGGAACCAGCTGGGATAACGATGAGTGAGCTCTTGTTTCCTAGTCGCGATCCGGTCTCCTGCACCACAGTACGTAATACAGCACGAAAACACTGCTGATGTTGGCCACTTTATACGTCAAGGATAGGTGCAAGCAATGATGTGCTAGCAGGCTGCCAATTATGGAGAGAAGGCGAGACATCAGTCTCATAACAGCACAGAAAGGGGAGCACGGTACGATTAGGTGACAGGGAAATGCGTGCCAAGATCTCAAGTTTCTCACAGAAGATGAGAGGACTAGGGTCGGCATTTCTGTTATTTATTTTGTTCTCTTGCTTGTTCACGAGAACAACAACATCGATCGGGGAACGCATGCACCTACTGATAATTCATCAGGCACTGTAGCGACAGTTACAGATCCTATCTTGTTCGTTTGCAGAGAGGCGAGTAGTTACCACTCATCCGTCCCAATTGATACGCTAGCTAGCTGGCCCATACTATAAGTATATTATTGGCCATGAACAAACCCTGGCTTAAGCCAAACGAAACACGCTTCACAACACAATGACGATGCGTCACAATCTCGCCCTTTTTTTTTTGAGATCCCAGTGCATGGCAAACACTAGCTAGTGACAACGACGTGCACGCGGGCTGCAGCTCGATGCATGCTCAGTTGACGGCACGGCAGTTCTTGCGGATCTGGCCGGCGGATCCCGTGAGCGGGCGGATGTTGCCCATCTTGACCATGGACCTGCGGAAGTCGCAGAAGAAGCGCTCGCTGTTGGCGCTGTAGGCCTGCACGAGCGCCTTGGTGTCGGCGCTGGAGAAGAGGCCCTGGTCGGAGGACAGGAGGCCCCTCTGGCTCAGCAGGTTCTGGTAGTAGTGGTTGTCGAACGTGTCGGCCGAGCCGGCGTCCAGCGCCGCCGTCTGGTTGCCGTCCCCGCCCTGGCACAGCGTCTGCAGGCTGGACGCCAGCGACGAGTTCAGCGTCGGGTCCACGGAGCTCGTCGCCGTGAAGTTGGACAGCCGGTTGCTGAACAGCGCGCACCGCGCTCGCCCGATCGTGTGGCCTCCTGCGTACGTGTCCAGTGGCCGTCGTCGGGTCAGTTACTATATGTCCAGTCATCACTACACTCTTGACGAGCTGGAAGGAAAGTATTGTGCAGTGAAAGATGCGTGGGACTAGCAGTTATACCTGATAAAACGACCACGTCGGTTGTGTTCAGATCCACATCACTGAACTTCTTTGTGATGGTGTCGATGGGATCGAACGGGCTAGGCAGGCCACTGTTGGCACCGGACTGATTTGCCACCAGGCCATCCCTCCTTCCCAGCAGGACGCCGTAGTCCGGCCCTCCACTCTGAATAATACTCCAGTAAGTAGTACACCAGCAGGTTGCGAGTATTTTTCAGCGTGATGATGAATCGATGACTGAAATCATGTGGGAAGGGAAGGGACGGGACGGGACGGGATGGGACGCACCAGCAGCACTCCGCATTTAGCCGCGATCGCGAGGATGTCGGCGCAGGAGACGACCCCGGGGCAGGCCTTCTCGAGGTCGGCCTTGATGGCGTCGACGACCTCGAACCCACGCGCCGAGTTCAGGTTCGGCGCCGCCAGCTTCTCGGTGTTGTTCCCGTCCAGCAGGATCGACCCGTCGCACCCCTGCGTTGCGTGCATGCAGCGAGCAGGTCTTTTTCAATTCAGCGATCGATCGGTACATAAAAGTTGCATTGGGAGCGTGCGTGTATGTGTCATGTGGTGTCTCGTACGTACGTTCACGAAGCAGTCGTGGAAGTGGAGCCTGAGCAGGGAGGCGCCCATGCGGGGCTCGGCCTTCATCGCGGCGGACACGCGCGCCTTCACGATGTCCTCCGCCTGCGGGCAGCAGCCGTCGTAGAAGTCGTCCGTCAGCTGGCCCCGCGCCACCGCGGCGGCGCCGAGGCACAGCACGGCGAGCAGGGCGAGGCAGCTCATTGTGTCTCTGCAGGAGTTATGCTCCATGTCTACCTCTGTAATCTGCACAACTACGTACTACTGTCGATAAGTGTTGCCTAGCTCCTCTAGCTGATTCTTACCGCAAGGCTTATATAGAGACGTTTTAGACTGTTGAGAGTGAGTCAGTGTAAGTGACAATCGTCCTGTTCGCTTGGCTTATAAGCCGTACTTTTTTAGCCAACAAACAGTATTTTTCTCTCACAACAAATTAGTCAACGGTACTTCCTGGGCAAATGCAGTTAGTGCTGTTGGATAAGCGGTAGACTGACTCGATGACGAGTAAGCGGCTGGCTGAGTGATGTGTCTGCGCGCGTGCGTTTTTCTCCCTGAATGGATCACAGCCGGACGCACTGATCGATCGCCTCGATCGAGTTTTTCTGAGTGGCGCAAGTACGAGTCGCGAGCACTGTGAATCCCGTGCGTAGTGGAGCGGGCGGCGCTACAAGTGGTAGTGGAGCTTCAACCAAGTGCGAGTGCCCGTACAGTAGTGTAAATTGCTAACGCACGTTTCGCATGGACCAAGTGAGTGGTGACGGCGGCTGCGAACCAATCAGTCAAGTCTGCACTCTGCAGTAGGCGTGCGTGCTCTACGCATCTGTCAATAATGAGCCTGTTCGCTTGCTCGTAAACGATCGTAAATTTTCAGCTGGGAACAGTGTTTTTCTCTCACACCAAACCAGTTAGCAGTAAATAATCCACGATACGATACGACCTCCCGAACAGGCCGAATAGAGCTACTTGGCTATAAATCGTCGTAAGAACCAAACTATATAATAGTTGTCTCATATTTGACTATAAAAAAGATTTTTATTATTATGTGATACCATGTGTTACTTTCTGTTTCCTATTTCTCCTCATATATATTTTTGTTTGGGCCACAGATGCTTGCCCTGTTCATTTCTCTTATAATCCATTTTTTTCCGCTTGTTTTTTCAGTTGGAATAGTGTTTTTCTCTAAAAAAACACAGTGTTTCGACTTGTTTTTTCAGCGAAGCGAACAGGCCCCATGCTTCCGTGCCCAACTTATTGCTTGCATGAGAGTCAAGCTCTTTTATCTTTTCTCTCCTCTCTTTTTCACATCAATAAAAATACTAACTAGTTTGGCTATAAGCTCGTTATTGTACCTGCTCTTACCGTGTTTAGGCCGTAGCCCATTACGCAGCATTGGTTTTAAATCCTGGGCCTTTGCCCATTTTAAAGGTTCAGTCCCATGCGTAAACCCGTTGTGATTGTGAGGGCCTGCGTTGTTTTCCTTCTGTGCGCGGCTGTGACAGTATGACTTCGTGACGTCTTGGAACATCCTTCGTCTTCGTCTCCACTCTCCAGTGGCCCAATCCCAATGGATCGGGTGACTATCGATTAGTGCACTGCGCACCATAAAATCTGCATGCATGTATCTTATATACTTCTCCTGTTCTCCATCGAGTTGTTGGCTAGTTGCAAGGTGTCCCCATCCAAGAGACGGCGACTTGCAGGACTGAAGAACAAAGCACAAGTAAGAGAAGCCCCAGAGAAGCTGCAACCTGCAACGCGCGGTGCGTCTTCGTTGCACCAACCTGAGAGTTGCTGGGCCTGAATAGGCTAACCGAGTCAGCCCACATGTCTAAGCGAATTGTGTGGCCCAAGCACAATAGCTTATAGCATTGCTCCTTGTATGGAGAGGGTTTTGAATTGAATCCTGTATCTAGGCTTGGGTATCATTTTCGCTTCGGTTCCTCAGTTCTTAAATAAATTTGGGTTCTATAGAAAATAAGAACCGATCGATTCCAAGAAATTCTAGAAACCAAGCATTTCGATTTTCGCTGAACTAACCAAACCTTTTCAACAGGGAACAGAGGTTAAGATAAATAAAAAGGTGTGTAGGTTCTAAAGCAAATTTGAGCAACATTTTCTCCATTGTAGATAATAATAATTGCTAAGAAAATAGTAGCAATATAATAACACAAATATATAGCAGTTCAAATATGACTATATGAGACATCACACATAAACCAAGCATAGTCTTACAAAATGTAAATGAGCGAAGTACAATTCATATAATTCGGTTCTTTTAGCTAACCAAGAGTTGGAATTTGAAAGTGCATCTAATCCTATCATGGGTTTTGTTGATTGCCATACTATAAAGGAGGATCGAATACTAATCACTTGCAAGTTTCTAATTGACAAAAGTTTCAAACTAAAACCTAGCCGTGATAGAAGATGACCCTTTGTTTTGCAAAATGAGTGCTAATTGTTCTATGGTCAGAAATTTCGGGCATTGGCCATATGTGACCACCAATTCTGGTCAACGGACAAATTTTTTTGGGACATGATATTCTTTTCTCACTTAACCTGTGCTCGAGTTCTAAGTTTTCAAGGGGTTGAAAATTCTTGTCTCCATTAGAATTTCTGGTCCCTACATTAAGAACTACTCAATCCGTTCCAAATTATAAGTTGCTTTGACTTTATTGGTACATCCATTTTGCTATGTATCTAGACACACATATAATAAAATTGATGTATCAAAAAAGTCAAAACGACTTATAATTTGAAACGGATGGAGTAGTTGAGAAGGGGAGTATATACCCCCTCCACCTCTCTCCTTGTTACTCTTGGACACCATAACAACCTATCTCAAGTTAAACACATTTTAATCTCCCTTTCTTCCTCTCTAGTGTACTAGTTAGCCTGTTCGCTTGCTCGTATACGATCGTGGATTATAAGCTGGAACATTATTTTTCTCTCACATCAAACCAACCAACAGTAAATAATCCACGATCGTTTACGACGAAACGAACAGGCTTTTAGATTCTATACTCTCTTGGATAGGATTTGAGGAATGATATAAGAAAAGTTATCATCTATCTAAATCTTTTGAGCACTCGTGACCTTTGCTTATCTTGAATTTCATTTGTCACTGTTGGATTTCTCGCAAATCCTAGATGGCGGCTAGGCTTTGTCCGTGAAGCTCCTAATTTGTGTGATGTAGCCCATGAAACCTTTTTAAAGCTTCAGCTCTGCAAACATTTCTCCTAATAGACTATTGCATTGCAAATAAGAAAATTTACTATAATCATTATGAACTGTGAAAACCCTATTAATTCTCTAGTTTGCCACAGTTTAGGCAGTTGGATACTGTTGCAAGTAACAACCAACTCTCTCTCCTCCGGACTCTCGGGGTCTCCCGACGTCGACTCATCCTCCTCGGCTTCTCTCCGAGTCCTCCATCCATCCTCCGGCTGTCCCCTCCCAGCGGCGAAACCCTAGCCCGTCACCTCGCCGCCCGTCGCTGCAGGCTTATGGCGCCTGTGTGACCGGACCAGCAGTCCGCCCCATCTCTCCCTTGGCCCCCGCATCTGATGTTCCTCTCCCGCATCGTACTCCGCGACCTGAACTCCATCGACTCCCCGGCCTCCATGGCGTCCTCGAAGAAGGTTGTGACCCGTGACGAGTGGGAGCGGAAGCTCCGCGACGTCAAGATCCGCAAGGAGGACATGAACCGCCTCGTCATGAACTTCCTCGTCACCGAGGGCTTTGTCGACGCCGCCGACAAGTTCCGCATCGAGTCCGGCACCCAGCGTATGGCACGCTCCTCTTTCTCTCCTCCGCTGTTGATCTTACCGGGGAATTCGTTTGAATTTCTGATTTTATTTTTGCAGCGGAGATTGACCTAGCGACCATCACGGATCGAATGGAGGTTAAGAGAGCAGTACAGTCGGGTAATGTTCAGGAGGCGATCGAGAAAATCAACGATCTTAACCCCACGGTTCGATTCTGTCTCTGTTCCTAGCAAAATTAGTTCGAATAACGGCCGAGATGCACATTTAGGTATTTTATTGTGTTGTGGAAGATCTCGAAGTAGGTTGTGGTTGCTGGGTTGTACAGATTTGGTTTCCATCCTCCTGTAGGTCTAAAATAAATACGGTCAACTAGAGAAGCACTCAGTTTTGCAATGTGGGTAACTTGGATGTACTGTCACCGACTCACCGTGTTTGTCTTTGTCAGCAATTTAGAGCCACAACTAGTTTATAGAATACAGGAATGGAATCCTTTCCCAATCTAATTTGATGACCTGTCATGTGTTTGGAGAGTATGCAGGAGCTTCCTGTTGTATCAAATGATATGATTCTGATTTAATCATCAGTTCTTACGGTTATTCTACTCTTTAGATTAGTTGTCCACGTTTTGCCATACTTGATTGTTAAAATAGGAGCTGGAGATTCGTGCTGAGCAGATTGCAGTTTTGAACATCTTTGTAACCGGTAGAAACAACTGAAATCCTTAATAAGTAGCATCCAATATACTTCGACCAATCTAGGAGTCAGGGCCAAGTATCTCGAACATGAAAAAAAAAACCCCAACAGTATAAAGATTGCACCTCATTGATTACTGATTAAACTCAGTTGATTACTTTGTTTGCCCAACACTAATGAGTGATGAGACGAGGATCCGATGTGACATCCTTTTTTCCACAAGTGTTTTCTGTTTCAGAATGGTGTTTTCCACCGTCGTTGTCCCCTTGCTTGGAAATAACTAACAAGTTTTGAGAAATGTTTCTTTATAAGAGGGTTCTGTTCATTTTTACATACAACTCAGATAACATAGATGGCCAGAAAAAAAATCAGTCATATTGCACATATGGCTAGTATGTGAGAGTTGTGTTGTTTTATTATCCTTTTTTTTAGGAGAAGCCCTATCATTTTTTTAAAAATAGTACAGCAGGGGGCCCACTGTACGATTTTATATTAATAAAAAGAAAAGAAGCTGTGCAAGAAACACAAAGCTGTACAAGCATACAGCGAAATGCAAAAAACAACAAGCCTGAGAGAGGCTAGGAAACTAGGCTAGGGAATCTATAGAGAAGCCCTATTCTCAAGGTCATAAAACTTCCGTCATCTAATGTTCATTATTTTCTATATACTAGCAAACATCCCAGATATTGCAATGGGATGTACAGCTTGTTGCGTGGTCACCTAGAGCTAGCTATCTTTATTGGACTT